AGCCTAGAATAATATTTATGGAAAATATCATTTCAACATACAACTTGGATCATATGAGGAATGTTACAAATGCAATTCTAAGTCTAATCTCCCAGGATTCACAAACTCATCATAACTAACCCCAGGTCCCGGGAAAGCTTTAGCAAACTCTAGTTTGTCTAAAAGCTCGTCAACAGAGAAAGAAGAAATAAAAAGTTTCCTCTGACTGGAAGCCATGAAGTTCTGCCTCACCGCATCGTCTAAGAATTTGAGAAGGTTATTGAAATAACCGTCAATGTTTAAAAGACCAATGGGTCTATTGTGTAACCCTTCAGAAGCCCACGAGATCAAGGTGAACAAACCTTCCATGGTGTCAACTCCTTCGGGAAGAACAATGAAAGCTTCCACGGCATGATTCATCTCAAAATATTTATAGTAATTACTGGAAACTATGTGCTCTACACCGTACGTAGGTCCATAGACCCGTCGTGTTGCTATGTACCCAGGAATGAAACCTCTAACGAGACCACCATTAGTAAAGACTGTTGAAGCAACAGCTCCTTGAAGGCCAACACTACCTCCTCCATAAGCAAGACTAATTCTTCGCCTTATCAATTCTCTTCCTAAATCTACTGCAGTAGCCATAAACTTTGGATTTCTACCAAGAAAATGACTGCCAAGAAGACCAACGAATCTTATGGTGTAAGGAAGTGTTCGAGAAGTTCCTTCCATAACGTGAGAATGTGAGATACTCTTCCCATAATCGTGATATATATAGTCTCTAGAACCTGACCATTGATGGAAAAGTAATTATCACCAGCCAAAATACGTACAGTAAAATGGATACAAATTAACTGCAGACGAGAATGTACTCGCTAATACTAGTATGCTGAAGATATGACGTATTGAGACTCTTGAATTGTTTGATTCGCTGTGCTGAAACACGTTCAAATCCGAGACGAAAAGTCAAAACGGCTATTTCCTAAGACAACGACCTCTTGAGTAACTTCCAAAGATTGAAACATTGAAGGAAGAAACCTACTATTAGTAACGGTAATTTGAAAATGCTATCTTGATATCTTATGACTCATATCCTTGAATTACTCAAACTTGATGTGTTAACTACACCCTTGAAACATCCCGCTTGATGAATCTTGAAAAGATTGAATTCCATTCTTTGTATCAAAATAATTCTTCATTAAACAAAAAGATGTTTTATGATACCGATCTTTGAAAACTATACCTTGTGGAATACGTGACTCGATCACAATAGTAAAACTACCTTGACTTGAACATTATACTGAACCTCTCTTTGTGGACCACAAAACAATCAATACAATTACGTTATCTCTAAAGATCATTATCGATGATCTTATTGACCAAGCAAACTCCATTATGACCTTGACAAGGAAATGTGTATGCAACAACCAGAGAAGAAATGACGTCACAAAGAAAAGCTGAATCATTCAAGCGAAAATCCCGAACCTATATGCAATGTTGGTGTAAGAACTAGTAAAGATCCCTCACTCTGAGAATTCATGAATTGAATCACGTACTGAAGATATTATCTTCTTCACTCGAAATGAAATCAACCATAGTGTTACATCAAACCCGTCATTATCAAGAACGTATCTGGATATATTCCAAAATCGATGAAGAATGTTGAATACGACAAGACGTATATGAAACGCCACTCTAACGTTATCACCTGTGGATACGAATTAATGCAAAGACTCATTAACGATAATGAGATCTACCATGAAGTGAACGAAGAAATGTTTCGGCATAAGGTCGATAAAGGACAAGCTACTCTACAACCGATCGACAGTACCTCCTCATAAATGATGACAAATCCCATATTCTGAGAATCCTAAACCAATAAAAGCCATTAGGTATTACTTACAAGTCGTTGCTAAATTGTGAACGATGTGAAGATGTTTTGATGACTTAGAAGATTACGCTATGACGTGTGAATTAAACAACCTCCAAATGCTCCACTACATCTATCCCGAACTTGAAACAACAAATGCTACTAAAGGACTTTCAATCAAAAGGAGAATATCGTTAACCAACGTTGTACAATTGGAAATTGAGAATGAACGAAGTTTTGTGCAAGTATGTCAAGTATACAACCCTATACACCACGAAAGAATATTAGTTGTTGATATTGAAGAATCACTGAGTGCCTGGTGGAATTAAAGATTATTAATCTTTTGAATAAAGAACAAGTTTGATAACATCGACAATTTGAGAAAACGTATCTGTATGGATAATGACGTAATTATGGTTTAACCAAATGAACATGACACGGTCATGATTAAGTGAGATCACTACGAAATGTTGAAGGTTTGACCTTATAAGAATTTCGAGGACGAAATTCCTTTTTAAGGGGGGGAGAAATGTAACGCCCCAAAATATACCCTAGAATTATTAATGAATAAATAATCAATTAATAAAATTTGTTTTGATTAAAATAAATTATTGTTGGGCTTTGGGCCGATAAGAAATTTGTTTTGACATCTTATATCAAAATCTGGATAAGTCTCATAGAGATAAATCCAATATGTGAACTATTTGTGTGGTCTTGATTGAGAACCTGAGTACAGACCCAAATCAAGAATAAATAAAGAATTTGTTTAGAATGTAAATATTGAAATGATTTGTTGAAATAAATCATGAGAATAATTGATATGAATTAAATGAGAGAACCTTTTATGAGAAAGGTCAATTAAACCAATTTTTACTTTGTTAAAGTCAAACACCCAAAAATGTGGTGTCGGAAAAAGTATAACGAATGAATATAAAAATCATATCGTTGGATAGAGTTTAACTATCCGATCGCAAAGGTGCAAACGGAATTCAATTCGGAGAAAGTTGGACCAAAAAGTGTACCCCGACTGGAACCAAAATTGGTCCCAATCAGGGACTTGCGTTTAAAATCATTTGGAAACGCAGCCAGGCGCACTAGCCGATCAATTACATCACGAATAACAACTCCCCTGGCCTCTTCCTTCCATTCTCTCCTATATAAGGCATGGTTAAATCCTTCATTTCTCCACCAATCTCCGTAATACTTTCTCCTATTATGCTCCTGAGAGTATGAGGAATGATGTGGTGTTGTCAATTTGGTGTGAGATCGCCGGAGTTGAGAGCTATCGTCACCGGAAGTTTCGTCGGAAAATCTTCAAAACACCCATTTAGCTTCAAGGTAAGCCCGTAGATATATCTA